AGCCTGGGTCAAGATCCTACAGGAGAAAATTGCATAACTCATCGATTCCATGCTAGAACGAGTCAAAGTACTGAAAAATGCTAGTGGCAAATCGACTAAGTACTGATGCACATTTGTAAACATTTTTGTAAAGTTGATAATGTGAGATAAATGACTATTGAAAAAAATCATGGTGTCTATTTACTTTTGAGATGTCTCTGTACAATTGCATATCTTTTATAAAAACGTTTCAAAAAAGGAAGTAAATGTAGAGATGCCTAATATCAGTCCCTGAAAACAATACAAACAAGATAGCAGGGATGGCATTTGCATCATCTCTACATAATAGCACAGGCACACAGTGTAGTAGAATGTTAACAGACAAAAATAGGATAAATTAAACTCAATTGTGATTGAATAGTTTATATACTGCTATTTGTTAATTCTTGCCCATGCTATTATGTTGGGATGATGCAAATGCCATCCCTACTATCTTGTTGCATTGTTTTTGAAGGATTGATATTAGCCATCCTTACATTTATTTTTTGAAAAGTTTTTCTTTACTTGTTTGCTTGTTTTTTTAACCCTTTCCAGACAGGTCACGGATGAAAGGCCATGTCATTGTGTTTGTTGATTTGCATTCAAAATTTTATTGAACTACTATTTCATGAATTTATGTCAATAAGTTTGGTATCAAACTGTAGATTATAATTCTAGTTTTAGTATTATACCTTACTCAATTTCATAATTAAAAAGTAAATATTAAAAAACACAGTTAAACTTTGTTTTTTGTGTATCGCGTGGTATGTTGAATGCAGCATTGGTTCAGATTAGATGTTCGTAATGTCAAAATACAAAGTCTATAATTTCGTAAAAATTAGGAACACAAATTACTGATATTGACAAGCTAGAATATAAAATAGAATATAAGAGCCTCTTATCTTTTCAATTTGCTAAGATATTGCTCGTGTAGTAAATCAAACACAAGTTTCACCCTGCCAACCTCTTTCCATTTTTGGAAATGCTCCCTTATATACACTTACTTCCATATATGACATGAATAACCAATCGGAAACTGGGAATGTCCCCGTAGTGGCTTTTTCAACCATTTTAATGTGCTTGGATGCCATTTATTTATTTCCAACCATGATTTCAAAGAGGTAGGTTGTATCTTTAGTGTGCTCAAAATCTCATATTTTTTAGACTGAAATACAGCTTATTTATTAAGCTTGATAAATTATAGTGGAATTCTATGGTATTGATATAGCAATTTATGATTTTTTGGTTATTCAACTGAATAAAAAAACCTAAAAAAAATATATA